TAGTCGTCTAGGGTCGCGCACTTTAGTCCTAGGAACTTATATTCCTTAATCAGCAAAGACTGCTGCGTAGCAAATGTAGGACAGTGCACTACGAGATGCTCAGTGTTTCGCAGGAGCCACAAGCTGCGCACAACGTACTGTCCACACGCGCTTGAAGGTGTAATCGTTCACGCACCAGCACAGAGCCCACTCTTATAGTTTGTACAACAGCGCTTGCTAACGACGAGGCAAGCCACGGGCTCGAACACGGGGAGGGAACGATCCATTCGCCACACGCCGGTCTGGGTGCTGCTTTAGGAGGTGTCGGCGTATAAGCAGACGAGCGTTGTCCATCGTACATGAAATTCCCGGACAGTCACAGTAATCATGGTTGCACGACGAAGCGAGGCGATCCGCTTCTTCATTGCCCGCCATGCCCCCGTGCGAAGGTCCCCACTGTGCAGCCAGGCATACTCCACGTGACAGAATATAGTTGATGGATTCCGTGATGCTGCTTAGAATAGGGCTGTTGGTCTCCTTGCTGGTGAGTCTGCTAAGGGCACCACGAGAGTCGGTGAAAATGACAACCTTCGATGCATGGTAACCCTTCTAGTACGTACTTAAGGGCGACATCAATCGCTGCTAGCTCGGCCGTCACCATTAAGCAAACAAACAAACAAAAACAGACACTGCGAAAAACGAATGCAATTATTTACGGAATTGAATTCTATAAACAGCCTTCTGCGCAAACTGCTAAGCGCAGCGCGCTGAAGCCATATGAGATAAACAGCACAAGCTGAGGTCTTTAGTCTTAAAGAAATAAAAAATAGATAATATTCACCCACACACACACTCTTTCTCTCCTTTTCACGACTTTTCTTCTTTTCCTTCGCGAATTATTTTTGCGTGATACCAAAACACCGGCGTCGAAGAATTCAAAGTGACTCGACACATAAATTTTAGAGATACCAATCGTGAAATAGCGTAGCCGGGACTAAGTGTTCGGAAAAACCTGTAAATTATAAAGAAAAAACATTGTGCAGAACAGTCGGTTTGACTGAGATAAACTCAGCCATTTTTTTTCTTTTTTTTGATATGCGTATAGGATTGAGAAAGGACAACATTTTTGTTTTTTATTTCTTTTTCAATCCTGGAACGCTCTTCTCAGTGAGGTGGCGTCAAATCACATAGAAAGGAACAGCAATATTGAGGTTTTGTGGCCTTTCGTGTCAACGGAAGACGGAAAAAAGAACTCAACAAACGCAGAGAACGCTTTGAATTCCCCGTGCGCCTCTTCAGGGAAACACAATAGTGTCCTATTTTTTGCAATAAAAATACCTGAGGCGAGAAATCAGGAAAACATTATTTCCCTTTTTTTCCTCTTTTCGTTTTATCTTGGTATCAATGCGCACTTAAGATGATCTTATCTGGCGTTTTCTTTCGGTTCTTGAAAACTTTGTATAAACAAATGGTTGCTTGTTTTTTGAGCTCTTTGCTCATTTCCTTCTTCGTCTATTTCATTTAATATAAGTGGCCATGAAATGGTATGTTAGGCTGAGTTTTATTCATTTTACTTAAGACTTGTAACATCTTACCTCTGCTTAAACATTTCTTTCTTTCTTTCGCTCTTTCTTTCTTTCTTCCTTTTTTCTTACATTTCTCTTTGTCTTTTTTTTATATTTCAGCCAGCATGTCTCTGTCTCTCTTCCTTAGATTTCTCTCTGTCTCCCTTTAGTTACATTAGCGTGATTGTTATTCCCCATTTATTCAGCGTATAGAGAGTAAGCTAGTTGAATCCTATTCCGTTTGTTTGTTTTAGGATATTAAATGCTGTTGTAGTCAAAGTAGGGTCTGCAGCAGTTTCTCCCTGCAACCTAATGAACACAGTGAAAAAACAGCCCTGTCTTCTCTTTAACAATCTCTTTCCCTGACGCGTTTCTAAAGCACACGTTCTATACGCAGTATCGCTGATGAAAAATCGAAGCATCGCTCATGGAAGAATAAAAATAAAGTTCTAATAAATGCCTCCCAGCCTGCCAAGTGCCGAAATGGCATTTGTGCCGTGTTTCCAGAAGCTCACAAGCTGCGGCGCTGTAATACGCAGGTGTTCTGCAGACGTTTTCCCCAACGAGCTTGAAGGAGTGCGCGTGGCTCCTTTATCTGCAACTCGGCGCAGTCTACACGGGCCGCCTTCGAGTACCGTCTTCTTCTTCTCGCTATCCATCAGCGTCGCTGATAAATGAAGCCACCCTCCGGACGTCTCCGGCGTTCGCTTCATCCGTTATCTCAGGCGCGTGCGGATTCCCTTGCGACTCCTTTTTCACGTGGCTGACGAAAAAGGTACTCCCCGTGTCGACCTAGTTGCGTGCAGCACTGCAGGGCAGCCGAGTCGATCGGGCACAGCACTTAGTTGGCGTAATCGTCTACAGAGTCATCAGTGTTGGTTGTCACTAGTGTAGTGCGCATTGTCATCAGTGTATAAGGCAGAATATTGGTAGTGTTGTATAGGTTGTTACTGGTTTAGTATAGGTAGTTATTTGCCAAGCCAACGCGAGCTCAACTTTTAGTTAGCGTAATTGTCGACGATGTCCCCACAGCATGTTGTTACTGGTGTAGTGTTGATTGCCATTTGTGTATATAGGACAGATTCTTACTAGTGTTGTGTTGGTAGCTAGTTGCCCAGATGACGTGGTACAGCTCTTAGATGGCGTAGACGTCTACGGTGTCTTCTCTGTTGTGCATAGCTTGTTACTGGCGCAGTGTAAATTGTTATTGTGGTAGTAAAGGTAGTTGCCAGTCGTGAGGGTGCCCTCCTGAGTAGTGTGCGCTTACGCCTTGCGTTAGCTGTGAACAACGAAATTTCTTCTAACTAGTAATAACACGGTACTTGAAGAACGGACAAAGTGATGGCGGTTGCTGCTCTAAAAGCTGATTGGTATAACATTGAGGCGTTCTGGGTACAAGAAGACAAGAACAAATTCACACTTTGTTACCTTTACCTGCGTACCAACCCAAGTAACCTGGAACCAAAAAAGAAAGGAAAAGTTGGAAGAGGCGTGAGATAAAGAGGTAAAAATAGCTACTTATAACTGGGGCCACATACCCGTCTATCATTGCTCATTTCACAGTCACAGGCAACCATGACATCAGCCGGATTCCTAGAGGCACAGGAGCGTTTTTTTTTACTATTTCGTGCTAGTGTTTTCTCCTCCTTTTTTTCATACTTTCAGCTATTTTCTCTGAACCAACAATTAACATCGCGGAAGAAGACCCTGCTTTTAGTTTACAACGAAAACTGACACTGCACGTTCCCAGTGTTTCTTCGTTTGTTTCTCTACATATCCTTGTCGAGCTCGGTGCAAATGGCACACGCGTATTCCAGAGGTTCGTAATTAAGACAACCGTCCCCAATCCATCACATCTACAACAGATGGTTCTTCGTAATGCTCTAATGACCCCCAAGAATCGGCAGATTAATATTACACCGTAACGACGTTATCTATCAAAAGTGAACACAAGGCCACCGGTGATCACGCTCAACTGCACAGAAATGTTCAGACAATGTTGCAACTGAGGAACAGAATTCGCTGTTTTGCACGTGTTTGTGTGTACACACTTTTTTACCCTTGATGAAGACAGTAACTGTCGCTAGGTAGCAACACTTTCGCACCCACTCCTGCAGCTGCCGCAAAATTGGCTGCGGCAGAACTCCCCGCTCCATAGCCTGGCTATACCATCCTCACAATGTGCGCGGGTAGAGATGGATCGATGGGAACGCGAGCATAATGTTGCACCGCCGTTCATCATCTGTCGACAGACGAGGCACAGTCCGCAGCGTTAGGCGCACCTCCTTCCTTCGCGCCTTTACAACGCGCTACACTATGAAACGACGCAAAACAAACCTACAGGACAAGCCTCCGTCCGCAAGTAACAAAACACACGTTTAGAAGATCATCTCGTAAAAAAAAAAAAAAACTTTTCGCCGTGCGTTGTAAGAGGCATCGAAACTGAAACGCTGGGGTAAGTAAGTTCGTGGAAGAGCGTGGCTTAGTGCATATATCGCTGGCCGTAGCGCTTCAACCACGCCTAGTAACCGACCTGGCAACGCTTGAGCGAACGGGTGAAGTATTCGCGCGTGATGCGCGTGTGTTGTTGTGAAGCACACGCTGGCGTTAATGAAGCGGCTCAGCACCCGAGGTACAGTGCCGGCGATAAAAGTTTTCTCGAAAGCTCACGTCTGTTTAGCTTCGCAACGATCGCAAAGCTCCATAAGAACTTTGTTGAAAAAAAGTGCGGTACGCAGGCCTTATTAGGTAAAGAACGCCGAATAACCATGCTGTTTTTGTTTCTTAAAAAATATATTACCAAATGGACAGTCTGTGTCGTGCTTCTGCTTTATGTTGATTATCACAAATGGTTAAGCATCTTGAAGGTCACTGCACGAACGTGTAGTGAAGTCATGGTGTCATATGGTGAAATGTCTTCTATCAGAAGTTTACAACAGATATCATGACTATCAAGGCCGCATAAAAGCCAGATCAGCACTATAGTGTTTCGAGATAAAAAAAAACAGTCTTACGTGTGGAATCGTTCGTAAGTGGAAGTTCTGAACAATCACGATGCAGCGCCCGCCCAGCGATGCCGATTGCCAATGGGTATTGGTTATTGAAACCAAACTGGCTTGATGCCATTGCCTTTTTTAATTGTGTAATTAAAATATCTGAAGTTTCAAGTGACAAAAATGCAATATAATTATGAAGCATGGGGTAGTGAAGGAGTCCGGAAATTTCGACCATCTGATCTGCTTTAACATGCACTAATATCGCACAGCACGCGGGCTTTTGGCATTTATTCTGGATCTAAATGCGGCCGTTGGGACCGTAGTCGAACCCGCGACCTTCTAGTTTCTTGCTTTAAGTTGACTGTTTGATGTCGCTGCTCTTGTTATTCCCGCTTTGATGCCAATGCCCCTCGCACTCCTGCTGAAGAGCGCATTCTTTTTTTTTTTAACCTAACTGCAGGTGTTGTTCGGCACATCGAACGGACAGATCCTGGTGAACGACATGCACGGCGAGCTGGTGGCTCAGGTGACCCTGAACGAGGACGCCGCCATCGTTGCCATGGCGTGGTCCTGCGAGAAGTTCAAGATGGAAGAGGCAGATGACGACAACAGCCGAACAGCGGCGGCCTCCAATGGAGACGCCTCCTCCGTCCCGCCCGCGCAAGGTAGGCAGGGGTCGTGCTTCTTTTGGACGCTTCAACAACTCTGATTACAACAGAATCGAAAGTTGGGCTAGTTGGATATGCATGGTATAACTGTCAGTTCAAGCGCACGAATAAACAGAAAGGAAGAGAGGACAAGCGCTTCAGGAGAAAGGAAGAGAGGACAAGATAATCTGTCTTCTTTTACCCTGTGTTCTCGATGTGCCACGGGTGTACTTTTTGCCTGCACACGCATGCGTTGTTTTTTGCCTGTATATATATTCTGCCCTTTCTAATAAACAGTTTAGTTGCGAGAAGCGCTTGTCCTCTCTTAATTTCTGTTTATTCGTGTGATTGAACTGGCAGTTAAACTCTGATTAGTTGAGCAAAAAAAAGTTCGACAGCTCTGGTTCACGGACAGTGATGAAACTGCAAAGCTTGTGACGTGCAATGGGGTTAAAGAATGTTGAAACGAATGCTTTTGTGGAAGTGGGATCAAGTGGTAATGAAATGGATGGATGCAGTGGGAGGAATGAGGAACAGCACATACCCGTGGTTGGCTTCACTTTCTTTCTGAAGGTAAATCCTATTACGATTTACTATCTATACGACAGCCCCCGGACATGATAGTCTCGACTGAAAACAGTTTCACTGTGAAAGCGTAAAAATGGTGTCGCAGTCAACACTGACCATTCCCACCGACTTTGTTAGCACGTTTTCCACTCACACTACCGAAGTCTGAATGGAAGCGGGGAGGGAGAAACCGGAATTGGGAGGAAGCAACCACGTCCCCCTCATCTTCTAGAGAGTGTGCAATGTCCACCCCCTGCTGCTACTCAGTCCGACTTGCGCCATTGTTGTTTAAAGAGCAGGTTTATGGGCACCCAGGCTTTTGAGGATGACGGTCAAAGTATCGTCACGCTCCTAAATAAAATAGTGGATATCGTGTATTGGACACAGGAGAAGACAAGAGGTAACAGTGATGCAGAGGACAGAAAATCTCACGCAAGAATCCTCCCGTTGCTTTGCAGGAAATCGCGAGAGGCATATCGTCGTCGCCTTGGTTTCATTTTATTTTTTTCGTATTTTGGGAAGCATGTGTTTTGAACTCTACCATTGGTTAGAGGGGGGTGGGGTGCCATAGTACTTTTGCGCCACTAATGGGCAGCATGGCGCCCGCCTATGCACATTGCTCTCATTAGTGCCGGTTATGTAAAGGTTTTGGTAGTGGTTTATGTGCGTTCTAAAAAAAATAAAACCCTAACCTGAAAGAACCTCGTTACGCCCGCGCACCAAAGCCAACATTTATCTCAGCATCTCACGCAATGTGGAGTCTCTCAAAAAAAGCTGCGCCGTGCACGTGAACTTGCACGCAGTAAACTATCTAGGTGATGCAGGCTTTACTTTACGAGTGACTTGCATGGCTGAAAACGATCTCCATGTCCAACTTAGCGTATCTCGGCGCCTATTTTTACGACAGTGGATTGATAAAATTTGATAGGGTGTCAATGTACGTTGCAGTATTATGAAAAACTTTTCAACTACCTGGTTCATTCGTGGAAGGATGTGGTCATAGGAGCGCGGGAATAGTCTATCATAGTTCTACGCACTGAAAGCAAAAACAAAAAAACAAACTTCGTTGCTTATGATTTATTAAAAGCGAGATAAAAGCGAATGCTTATCAATAATCGAGTGGGCGATATGAGTGTCCTTGTCTTCGCAGAATGTATGCCCGCAGCTCTCGCTTCACTTGAGCACGTCAGGTTTTGCAGTGTGCATTTCGCAGCCTGCTTACGTTGATCTCAAAAGCATGCACACAGGTCTTCGTTCTTTATTGATTTCATGGAGGTACTCCGATAAGCTTCTATAAGTGTCCTTTCTTCAAGGTAACGCGTTTGGAATGCATTCACAGACGAGTAAAAATGCACATAAAGCAGGTCCCTCTTATGTATTTTTATTGTATTGTTTGCCTTACTTACTTAGCAACAGATGTGATTTATCTTTGCTGCTAAAGAAAAATAATACAAGAAAAGATCGATACCCGTTGGGGCGTCGGGTGCTGTGCAGACTTTAAAACAAGTTGTTTTCTGCGTGCGAAAGTTATTTCGAGATAGGCACGGCAGTTCACCAAATGAATAACTCACTCGAACAGATTTGAACGGTATTTTCATGTCCATGGAAAAAAAAGCTCTTTTGTACTCTGTTTGGCATGCACGATCTATTTCGGAGAGATTCAGGTTTACTTAAGTATAGCGTACTCCCACAGACTTGGTGTTATTTTTTGGATTCTTAAAAAAAACTCGCGCGGTGAATTGCCAAAATACGATCCATCTACGTCGTTCTATGAAAAACAAATTTTAAAAAGTCGTATTGAAGTATGAAAGTTGGGATATGCAGTCACTTTATCAAAAAAAAAAAAACAGCTGCGGCTATCTTCTGCAGCCCTAAGTCTGCATAGAATATCTTGAATAATTTGGAAGTGGAAACTATTGCGCGAAGGCTGACGCAGGTGATGACGCAAGTTGCGCCTCGGGAGGCAGGCTTCATGCAAACGCTCTCAATGAATCTTTCAAGCATAGAGAGAGAGAGAGAGAGAGAGAGAAACATTTATTGAATGAAGCTTGTGAGTGAAGGTGGGAGGGTCCCTTATTCCAGGAACCCTCTGGCTTGGACAGCCGACCGGGCTCGAGCGACGAGTTGACGCTGCTCGTCCAGGTCCGGCTGGGAGATCGCAGCTTCCCATGCTTCACTGAGGAGGTCTTGGTCCGCATCTGGTGCTGTTTGTAGTCTTGGGATGCTTACTTTGCATTGCAGTAGGGGGTGCGCCAAAGTGTCTGCCACATTGCAATGAGGACAGATGTAGCTGTGCAACGTTGGCCATATATGGTGCAATTGTACGCCGTGGGTGAACGTGTTGCTTTGAAGACGCCTGTAGTCAGTGCCTTCGTCTCTTGTGAGCAGAGTTCAAACTTCTAGCACTAGAACCACGCATAAAGATAGCTCGGGAAGCCTGTGAAACTTCAAAATGATTTCGAGCTGGATTGACTAGATGAGCATCTAGTATTTCTTTACAAAGTTTATCCTCACAGCTTTCGATGCACCAACTATACTTCGATACAGTTTTATAACATTTGTTGTCTTTGCAATTCGTGAGGCAGTGTAACGCATTGATACACAAAAATTTTGGCAGATCCCACGTACCTTGGGAATCGATGTTATGTGAAGCATGCGGATGAAAGATGAACTTTTTTTTTATTGAACGAGGCTTTATGAAGTGGTGCTAAACATATGTAAGAATCCACGCATGCACGTGCGTTAAAAACCCGCTTATGTTTTATATTAGCAGTTGTTTACAGTTTAGTAACGATGCCAACAGCAACATGGATATTAGAAACACCAGAAGTGGTAAGCTGATATGAAGCGGTGGCGTTTGCACTGGTACGCGCGATGATAATAGCCGTCAACACTGCCACACCAATCAACTTCAGGGGATGGCGCCTAACTATAATTCACGTTAACCCGGCATGACGACTGTATTATAGCAGTACATAAGAAATGGTAATAAAATTGTATAGCCAGTACTGCAACCACAGTTGACTTTACACGTACGTTAGGGTCTCTTTGAAGTATATCCGAGGCCTGGCGTGGCTATCTGGTAGAATACTCCATCGCCACGCAGAACGCTAGGATTTGACTCCTGCTGGGGCACTGACTTTTATTGTTGGCATTCGTGTGGTCAACGATTCCTATGGCAGCTATTTCTTAATGCTGATGCGTTAAAGTTACCCATGTGTGTTCTCACCATTCCTGGGTAGATATAAAATGTCTATCACCTGTGACACATACCCGCCCCCGGGTATGTGCCACTGTTTTTTGAAAAGTGTTTGTTGACGTACGCAACGATAATGTTACATCATTCATGTCATGACCAGCGAGTCCTATTCGCCAAACCACATTCCCCTCCAGTGCCTAATTTTGGTGTACTCTAAATTAAGGGGGTGATCATGAGAGCACCCAGACATAGTAGAACAGACAGACATACATACAGACTGACGCATGGACGGACGGATTGATAGATTGATAGATTTATCCCAAGAAATACAATCGTTTTTAAAGCTACGCTTATCAAAACATCGGCTCCAGTGACATTCTGTGCTCACGAATTTTCATCTCTACGAGGATAATTCAAAATAATAATAATAATAATAATAATAATAATAATAATAATAATAATAATAATAATAATAATAATAATAATAATAATAATAATAATAAATTTGTGCTTTACGTCCACACCTCGCCTGGTAAAACCACTACTAAGCAAAGCAACTAATTGTCACATATCGCTAACATTCGGAAAGAAAATTTCCAAACCTATGCCAGTAATTCTGCTTGGTAGTATTAAAAAAAAGTTCATATGTGTCCCACTTCGAGGAAATAAACGAACCATCTTCAAATAGTGTCGTAATATCTTTGATTTCCGTGCACTTCTCGTTAAATGCCTGGGGTACTGTAATAAACGTTTGTACCTTATACAATCTTTCTACATTGTTACTCTTTGATACCGACAAGAAAGGAGGTTGCCTTTGCACCATAGACGCTCATACGTTCAGAGCATGCATATTAGTGGGCTTGTGTGTTTCCCGGTGCAGCCAACTACTCGGTTTTCGAAGGGAGAAAATTTGATGCCAGGTATTTATATAACAGTGATAGAGCGAGAGTCAAACGTTACAGGCACCGATCATGAAATAACTTTTTTTCCTTGGTCTCTTTTTCTCTGTCCCGACACGCAGCTTCCGAATCCAAGCTATCCGTCCTGGCCGTTTGCTTCAGCAACGGAGCCATTCACGTCATGAAGAATTACGACGACATCTCGCCTACTATCATCAACACCGGTCTCAAAGGTATGAAAATTAAACGTTCATTTGAGGTACCGCCATCCTAATCGACGGAGAGTGGGAAGGGAGAGAGGTTAATCCCCTCTTCCCACACCTCGCCTGGTGAAGACTGCTGGACTTTAAATGAAGTTCATTCATTCATTCATTCATTCATTCATTCATTCATTCATTGCATATACACACTAGGTGTCGTTTCAAGCGGCATTGTCGATCTAAGCACCATTACCCATCAGTGGATTCACTATTCCTCAATTAAGTGAATACTCGAAGTGAATATGAAGCGAATATTCACTGCGAGCTTCATGGTTCTTGATATATTATATTTTGCTGAGGCGATTTCTCCATAATTTGATAGAATTTTATTTCATTGTTTTTTTAATTGCAATGATTCGAGCCTTTGCGCAGGTCAGTATAAAACGGTGTGACACTCTTTGAACTCTTTGCCGTAGTAGGGCTTTGCCACAGTAATGGTATACTTGCAAACAAGCACGCTTTAGAGGCTAAAAAATCAACACAGGAACTTGGGCATGTTTGTAGTCCATCTTCACACCTATAGCTCACAGAAGAGAGAAAGTACAGAGATACGGCGCTAACTTCTAACAAACGATTTACTTTACGAAGTAGTACAACTAAATATATAGAAATTAGGTAGCAACACGCTCAGGCGCGTTCGTGTGAGATAGGAAATTGCGAAGATACGAAGAAGATTAGAAGTTACGAAAGATACGAAGGCAAAAATAACGGAGAAGGGCAGAGAACGAAACAATTGCGAAATTACTGGGGCACCACGAGAAGTCTCAGTCTGCTTCAATTGAGATGGAGTGACTGAAACGTAAATGCGGGGTAATACCATATATCTACGACGTCTCACACAGTCTGAGGATGATGGGCAGTGACGCAAATGTAAGGCTGATCTTTTCTGCCCCAAAGGAGCTGTCCCACTTGTGTAAGGTTCGCCACTGTGGCTCCGAGAAACACGGTTGCCTGAAAAGCATAAAAATATTGTAAGAACTATGTCGTATATATGAGCTTCCGTCGTCTTGTGGCAAAGAGAGAGAGAGAGAGATAAAGGAAAGACAGAAAGGTTAACCAGAGTAACACTCTACTTTGCTAACTTGTCCTCTGGAAGAGAAAAAAGTAGGTGCAAAATAACGATAGAGAAATAAGAGTTTATGACAGTATACAAAAAACTAGTTGTGACTGGATCTGAGTACTACGCAGCAGCATCGTTCGCGAACAGACACTGTTTGTCTGTCGATTCAGTTGTTTGCAGAAACCGCAAAAACTCCATCAGAGTGGCTCGTGATGCAGGCCTGGCTGATCAGGGCACCAGGATTTTGTTCTTTGTGATGTGGCGGTTGTACAGCTGGCTTTGTGCATTGGACAAACGGGAAGGTGCGCGATGACAGAACGGCAAAAGATGCGTGAGCACGTGAATGATGGGCGGTGTGAAAACGCAAGCCATCTCGCTGTTGACTGCAAGAACTGTGGGGGTGTCTACATCTATTCACAGTGTATTGTAACAGAACGATGCTCTGCGCACAAAACACGGAAACTTCTCGAGGTACTGAAGATTGCTAACTTGGGGGTAGTGCGATAGTGTGCCTTCAATTGAGCTGTCAACAAAAAAAAATTACATTTTATAGCGTGATTCTAAAAGTGACTTAGCGAAGATGGTTGTTCAGTATGTCCTAGTAGTCTTCTAATTATTTTTTTTTTGCTTCACCTCGATGTTATCTTCGTCTTCATACGTGTCACATGTTTTAGAAGCTTTATGCTCGTAGATACGCCACTGCGTGCCTTCCTACCTTGTTCCTGTACATTTCATTGTATTCCTTCGTAAAACAGATCATTTGTCGGAAGTATGCACTGCATTCACGTCGTGCTTTTGTAGATTGTTTTTTCTGTCTATTACAGGTGTTAAGACAGTTGAAAGAAAGAGAGAATGGACATATGCGTCCTAAACGACTGCGAAACCAGCTGATAAAATGCACAACGTGCAGAAGCTCATATAATTGATTGCCTAGCAACGTAGAGGGGAAGAAAATAGCATTCAATATTTTTTCGCAGACATCAAAGTGGAATGGTCTAACAGTGGTGAAGTACTTGCTGTCGCCGGCGTCGCATCGGAGTCTACCGACGGGGACTGCCGAAATCGCATCCACTTCTACACGGACGCAGGACTGCTTCGTTTTGTGGCCTCCATACCGTACACACAGGTGAGGTATAGTCACGTTATAAAATAAATGTTATAAACAGTTCGTTGTGCGCATTGTAAGAGTCTGATTGTTTTTCCACGTGAAGTGAATAGCATGTCCCTGCATTGCACGGAGTGTATGCAAGTTCACCACAATCGTCATGATTTTTAACCTACTGAGGTAAGCTGCAGGATGACAATCTCTCCCAGTGATCTCCCGCTTACCCTATCCCATGTGAGCTGATTCCATAGCATCCCCGCGAACGTTTTAGTTACGTCATTCTATTTAACTCTCTGCCTTCCTAAACTGTGTTTCCCATCCCTTGGTAACCAGTCTGTTGCTTTGTCTGTTTTACCTATTGTCCCGCCGCGGTGGTCTAGTGGCTAAGGTACTCGGCTGCTGACCTGAAGGTCGCGGGATCGAATCCCGGTGCGGCGGCTGCATTTCCGATAAAGGCGGAAAAGCTGTAGGCCCGTGTGCTCAGATTTGGGTGCACGTTAAAGAACCACAGGTGGTCGAAATTTTCGTAGCCCTTCACTATGGCGTCTCTCATAATCATATCGTGGTTTTGGGACGTTAAACCCTACAAATCTATCTTTTACCCCTTACGTGGTCAGCCCAAGTTCATTTATTTCGCTTGGGGTCAACTAAAATATCCGTTGAATTTGTTTGGTTCCTAAAAAAATAGTGAAATGATTAAGTACCAAACAGCACTGCCACTTTATATCGAGTTGTTCATATAGCGCAATCAAAGACGAAATGAAAGAAGAAAGATGCTGCGCTTCCCGAACCTTCAATGCTATCATTACTGATTCGAGTGCCTTATTTTAGGAACAAAAAATTACACTGATTCTGTTCAACGCATTCGTAGACGCCACACATAGAAAGGTAGCCCCACCTATCGACAGAAGCGGCAACTGCGCTTCGCATAGCGTGACCTACGAGATCGGGCATTGCGCTGTAGACAGCAAGGGCCACGTGATTTCCGAGACCATTTGATCTTCATCGCAGGTTGTGTCTTCAAGCATGAGCTAGAAATAATGTCCTTCAGCCTTGCTGTCCACCACTTAACGCCCAAACTAATTAGCCGCAAGTTCTTCATTCTGCACTGGTTTAAGATACCGTGACAAAATCAGCTGAGACAGAAAACTGTCCAAAAGGCATCCTCAGCGGCTCGAAAACCTGTTCATTCATACCAAAGTAATGCTAGGCGATTGAGAATTTTGTTAATGATTGAGAATTTCGTTAATTCACAGCTGAACCTAAGTAAAGTAGAGTTCTGCGTGAGTTGGTATATATTCACGTCGGAGCCACTGGGTCCCGTTTTCCTCGTGCTACGTTTCGACATGAACAATTAAGTTCTATTTACCTTTTCCTCAACGTTTGTCATGTAAGCTTTAAATTCGGTGTTAATGATCATTTAACTCAGGTGAAATTAAGTTACCATACCAACGTACAGTTATATTTATACTAAGAAATGCGGTGCTTTCCTGCATGTATTGCGATGATCAATGCTGTTAGCCCATCTGAATCGAAAGCACTCTCACCGAGATATCTAAAGTTGATCTTTGTGACAGTCATTGAATTTTAAAGTTGGTAAGTTGCGCTAGATTGCATTCCAGCATGTGCTAATGGTATATAGCGCACTCTCATAACACGTCGATGATGAAAAGCTGGTAGAAGTTACTTGTAACTAATATGCAAATGCAATGAATATATGTGGTGACGAGAAGACAGAGTGTTATATTAGAGGAGGAAGTCAAGATAAAAGTAGAACGTCTGAAGTATCAGAGTTTGTGTGATTTCTTTAAAGTATATGAAAAAAAGGGTAAGAACGCGGCAGAAGACTACATAAGATCATCTTTGTCGCCGGGCACAAATGTTGGCCCTTTGCGAGACACTCTCTTCGTTTTTGATAGCACCAGGATGACTCAGTTACTGCATGCAACTTTTCTTAACTGAGTTCCATTCGACATTGTAACATGCACGCAATAATTACAGGAATGATCGTTGGGCAGAAGTTTCTGCGGCCAATGTTTCGACAAGTTGTTTTGTCAAATGCACCCAGGAATATACCATAGATCTGCCTACTTGTTTTGTCCTGCTATCTGAGCAGGCCTGAAGCACATTATGTGGCATTGGGAAGACCACTACCCTACGCGTAGCCTTTCTAGAGCTTTAGTACTCAGAGGCAACATTATTGAATGTCCGTCTGTAAAACCCTGTACTTTCTGTCTCTCTCTCTCTCTCTCTCTCTCTCTGTGTGTGTGTGTGTGTGTGTGTGGTTGTGTGTGCGTGTGTGTGCGTGTGTGTGTGTCCCTCATTTTTCCCCACGTTAAGGGTAGAAAACTGGACAAACTCTAGGTAATCACCCTTCCTTCCTGATATCTCTTATCTCCCTCTCTCCACGTTGCCGGGAACTGTGCGAGGCTGTCATGCGTAGCTACAACCCCAAACTTCAGTAGGCTATTCTGAGGTGGAATAGTAGGCCCACCGCAAGTAGCGTAATCTGCTTTTACTTTTTCTCTCGCGATCCCTTTTCCTCTTAAATGACATAAATAAAGATGTCTCTCTTCATTTAAACTCAGCGAAAACAAAATGCCCGAATAACCTGTGACACTTACGGGTTCGCGCAGAGTCCAGTGACGGCGCTGACGTGGGGCCACAACGACAAGCGGCTATTCGTGGCCACGGGTAGCGTCATTCACATCGGCTGGGTGACGAGGCGCATGGCCTCGCTGCAACTGCTGTCCCGGTTAACGCTGCACCGGGCACTCAGGGACGAGGCGGCCGTGCACACGCTCCCTCTGCCTCGCAGGATGCGCGCCCTGGTGGCAAACCTCTTCGGGCAAACCGTCAAGGTGCGTCTTGACGCTGCTGCATAGCAACAAATATTATTTAATTCATTCGTTATATCGGAATTTAAATTACGTTGAAGGAGAAGTAGAAGTTAGCCAGTACAGACACTCCAGGTTGTGGGTCAGGTCCCACGGATGGAGCGTTTTTTGTGCAATTCTATTCATTTCGTGTAATAATTTCTTCGCTACACTTTAAAGAAATTATTTCTCCTATGTCATCCTTGACTTAACTGATTGTTAATTCATTGTACACAGCATCCCGTGTAGCTGCCCCGAGGAAGCGGAAAATTCTACGAATGCTTCTTGGAACCGGCAAGGCGCTACCGTATCGAAAAAACTCAACTCCTTCCTTGTCTTTTGTTCAATGCTGTGAAAAGAATAAAACTCATTTAGAGCGTCTCATATTCTAGAAGTAACCCTAAAGTGCAGTAAAACACTGTTGATTGGAAGTCTGCGTGTTTGTGCATCATTGAAATTTAAAATGTTCAATTTCTTTTCCTTCAGTGTATCTTGTTTGTGTTCAAAGTTGGTACCCAATGTCGTCAAAATTGGTGTTTTTTTAAAAAAAAGGTATTACAAGTTCTCACCCACTTTCGCCCCACACATCTTCTTATAATGTGTGCGTGGTTTATATCCTATAATTTATATTTAACCTTGAACTTAATTTCATGTTACGTACAGCCACTGCATAGTCGCATGACTCACAAAATTCAGTTTCTCCTCGATTAATGTCAGTTGGCAGAGCACCAATTAAGTAATTTACTAGTCCTATAGAGGGGTCCTCGGTTAATTAATTAACCGGGTATTCGTTTTTTCCCCATCAGCATCTACTATTCCTCACGCTATCAATCCGAGTTTGTTAGAGCCCATTCTGGCTGGCCCAAAGAGCTCTGGGGGTTGCCATCTCTACGGCGACCCAGCGATCGTAACCGCTACGGCGTACTATATGGGAGCTCCGAAGGAAAACGACCGTACCACACAAAAAGTGAGAGGGGGGGCTGGAAGAGGAAGGAACAGGATCGACCAAGCCGCGGAGATAAGGCGAAGGAGAACGAGAGGATGCTTGCTTCTCGCGCTTCGTTTGCGAGTTATGAGTTCAGCGCATCCGGCAAAGGCGGGTCCCTTCCCTTTAGTACGCACATGTGGATCGTCGTAAAAGGGGATAACCGTTCTCCCAATCCTCGCGCAAGCATGGAGAGACTAACAGCCTGTAGACACGGTGCTTCTTTCTAGACTACGTGTGAGTGAGTGTCTGGGTGCTCGCGGCACTGCCGTGCGAAAGACGGGGACGAGTGAGTGCGTTGGTCAGCGTCTGTGCGTTTGTGGCAGCCGTGGAGACAGGGGGGATGCTGTCCAGCGCCCATCAAACAGTGCAGTCTTATAAGGTTTATGCAAGGCGGGCACGCATGTCTACGAACAGTCAAAAACAAAAATATGGCTCGTAAGCTTAGCTCCGGACGAAGACGGAATAGACGAGGCCACGCGTAAGGGAAACACCCATATCTCCATTACCAAAATGCGTACTTAGTGCGTCTAAGGTTTAAGTGTAATGGCGACGGTTAGGTGTGCATGACCACGGGCCATCTTTCATTTGCGTAACTGTTTTTTTTTTTTTGGTGTCAGCACTCATGAGCTCCTGGCATCCCATACACGACGACTCTGGTTTATTGGCTAAGCTTATGACGACAAAATGATAACTTATCGCTGGAGGTAGCCTGTTACAAAAGCTACTTAAGGGATATTGCAGGGTTTTTTTTTTTACATCCATTGCTTCATTCCTCACACTCAAACAAAAAAAAAATCGAGTATTTGGGGAGTTTTTCTGCCACGCAAATATAATTGTCATATATTTCGCGTAGTTTCCTCGCGGTTCCAGTAACTTGCGGTCACGAAATGCGCGCGCCTTATCAATGTGACATAGCATTCTTGATAGGAAAATGGTGAGCACCGGGACTTCAAAAAAGGAAACGCGAGCAAGTCAGATGACGTTGATTGTTGCGTGGCAGAACGACCACCCAAATACTCAATTTTTCTTTCTTCGAGTTCAGCAGCAGATGTCGCATATAAAAGCTGCGAACAGAGGTCTCAATTAGGTACGCAGACCTAAAAGTATCATCTTTAGATAACAATCCCAGATAGAACGACGAAGAAATGAGGAATAGACACACAGAGCACATTCCTAAAGGTATTTTTTTGTGCGTAACGTAAATCACACAACGTCAGGTTGTGAACGTTTGGCAGAATTCGGCGTCGTAGCTTTAATGCACAGGTGGTCCTGCAGTCGTAGCATCTCTCGCGCGTTGCCTCTGCGCAGTGCTATCTGCCGGAGGCGCACCAGCTGCGGGAGTTTGTGTCCCGCCCGCACCACGTGCGCCTGCACTGCACCATGGTGCGCCACGACACCGAAGACCTGGTGTCGGGCAGCGCCACTTACACCCTGTTCCTCGAGTACCTGGGCGGCCTGGTGCCGCTACTGAAGGGCAAGCGCGCCTCCAAGCTGCGTCCCGAGTTCGTCATCTTCGACCCCGAGCAGCCGGCTGGGCAGGCCGGCGGTGTCCTCCAGGGGTCGTCCTATGGCCGCAATTCACCCGGTGCCGACTTGGGCACAATGTCTACTACTTTGAGGGATGCCAGTGAGTATGTCGCTTCGTTGTTGCAGCAGTGTAGAAAAGTATGAAGACGAAGTTGTGGGCCATCAGTGTAACTCTCTAATGGTCGACGTTTGCGCCCAGAAACACAATGACCTTCGCGGAAGAGGTTAAGCGCTGTTCGAAATTGTGCGTATGTATGTATGTATGTGTGCATGTGTGTGTGTGCGTGCGTGCGTGTGCGTGCGTGTGTGTGCGTGCGTGCGTGTGAGCGTGCGTGCGTGCGTGTGTGTGTGTGTGCGTGCGTGCGCGCGCGTGTGTGTGTGTGTGTGTGTGTGTGTGTGTGTGTGTGGGCAGTGGCGCCTTTGTACGTCGTAAAGATCATCTGCTAAGCCTCACCTCGGTACGGTGATGACAATTTGCAAATATCTGATACTCTTCGGGAAGCTTCCAAAGCGGTTTTATTGCTTCCGCCCTAGCGAAACTCGCAGTCCAACAAACGGAAGGAGGTAGATAGCAAGGAGAATTTCGACAACCATAATGCAGCATCGCAGCTATGAGTGCGATTTGAAGCAGCAGTGCCTTTTTTATTGCAGTTGCAGAACAGGGCGTGCTGCTCGTAAAAAAAGACATATTTGCTCCCTTATGAGAGTGTTGATTAGGCATGCGAAGCTCGTAGCATAATTCATGCCAGCAACAAAACACCCCTCTGGGTTGTTGTGCTGCCCAGTCATAATGTTCGAAGTGCTTATAGTCTGTGCTAACGACGCTCTAGCTGGAAAATAACTATACCACTTAGCCATTGTAACACTCTTTTAGTGTACAACAAACTGCCATAACGAGTGGTAAAAGCAGTGCCCTGGCATGCGTGGTACCTTACAAAGATATGAAAATATAAGTTTTCTCGAACATCGGCTCACACGAACCGTTACTGAATTGGACTGTGCACCTCTTTATCTAAACAACGGCGGCGTGGGGACGTGTCCACGCACGCATGTGGAAGCACCCGTCTTTCGAAAGTCCTAATGTTCAAGAAAACTTCATGAAGTTTCATGCATTGAACTGCATTTACAAGGCTTTGCTTCTAATAACGAGCAATAGAAGAGAGAGCCGCTTTTACCTTGTCATGGAAATCATTGGCAAAGAAGAGAACAAGTTCCTTAGACATTCCTTCCTTGACGCGTGATGAAACGTAGCTTTCATATCCACGTAAAGAAGCTATGAGGGCTCGTTGGTGTTACTTCATGAGTGTTCGTGTGGCTAACTGACGTTTTAAAAGACGAGTTGAAAAAAAAAACACTTGGTTAGTCTTTTCCCGCTTTTCCTTCCGTCAGTTCTTAGCACGGTCATCATGTGCGGTGTCCACGATGACACGTCGTGTAACGTAGTTTGACGATGAATGACGTTTGCTTTTTTCGTCTTTTTTTTTCTCTCTCGCAGCAGTTGGCGTTGCTTTGGCGTCCGACAGTGATGCAGACGAAGGCTGCACCTCCTCTCCAGGCCGCCGCCGAAGGGCCGCGCGCAACGCGGCTGCAGCAGACGCAGCCCTCGCGGGTGACGTACGTATCTTCCCTGTTGTATCTCATATCATATACAATGAACAGTCCCCATAGTAGAGGTGAGGAGATCCAAGAGCTATTCTCGTGCACTGGTACTTATTCGGGCCAGCATGCTTGGCCGCGATCACATGAACTTTGTAAAGTTGGCTTCTTCTTAGTAATGTGCTTACCAAGGAGAAGCACGCTTTTCAGTTTTTGTTGATTGCACAGACGACAAGCTACTGTGTGAGAGTTTACTGTAAGTAGAGGCTTGCTGAACGCGTTTACGAACACACATCCTGTACTAAACGAGAGCTATTAATGGCGCAATTCGTTCGTCGTACCTGTATGACTACGCGTCACGTGCCTAAATAGTTATTGGTTGCTTTGACTGAATAACATCACAGAGGCCGGGACAAGTAAGCAAGGGCAAGCAAGTTAACCAGATGCTTGTAGGGTTTTCTACCCTGCACTGGAGGATGGAATAAACGGGTGAGAAGGAAGACAGAAGAAAAGAGAGGGATGGGAAGGATCTAGCACACACTTGGGGGAGCACGTCGTGTCTACAGGCAGTCTCATAAATCTGTTAACATTAGATTCTGTGCCTTCTAAACACATATACATTAACGGTCCTACAACCTTGACTTATACGCCGTATAACGTATAATGCCATACAATGTTGGCTACCTTCAGCTGTGGTGTGTTGTAGTGTGTCACAATCATTGTATATTCGCATATAAATAGACAGCGAGTTTTTCTTGGTACGAGCGAGCCTTTGTTGGTACATCCTCACCCCTTCTGAACACATCAAGTACAACCTAGGTTGTTGTTTTTATCTACAGACTCATTATTACGAACTTCTAATAACCACTTTCCGTCTTATAATATTATGATTTATAGTACTACTAGATTTGCACTGAACAATAATTTTCTTTTACGAAAAGTTTGTACTAATTACGGTAAGCAAACTGTCACATTCACTTCAATTACATTTTAGAACACTCTTCTACTCATCATGAAAACAAGATTATTACACCATTTTAAGCAAGAGCTAAAAAGATACTGACTTCGCATTGAATAACCAGTAGTAGTGTGTTTTGTTTGATATATTGTACGCTTTGTTCAGTGTAACATTAATAAAGGTTTTCAAGCTGTTGTACGCTTGCTTTTTGTATTATTTTTGTCTTACAATGTTTCAGCATTTTGTTAAAATCATTCTTTTTTTATGTAATCACTCGTTTATTGTTTTTATATTAGTCCACCTTTCGCAACATCTACGTCTTCTTACTGGAGGTCCCAATGGAATCTCTTGACTACGGTATTTCCTTCCGTGTAATAAATGTTTGTGACTTTACCAACTTTTAACAATAAGTTATGACCCCGATTCTGAGGGCATTTCGTTAAGCTTCAATTATTGAACGACGTGTTCAACGCTCGTGCAGGGCATCTCGCTGGCGTCGTCCCGCGGCGGTTGCGTCGGCGCAGCGCGCCGCGAGCTCCTCTACACGGACGAGCTCCCGGAGCGCGAGAAGATCGTGGCCGTGACGTCCAACCTCTGGGGCACCAAGTTCAAGGTGCTGGGCCTGGCCCGCTGGCTGCCGGCCACGCTTGGCACGGTCACGTACCGCACCAGCCTGCTGCACCTGCAGCCGCGCCAGATGACGCTCCTCATCAAGGAGCTACAGGGCCCGCAGCCGCCGGCCGCCTCTTCATCCTCCTCTTCTTACTCCTCACGCTCACTCGTTCTCCACAACGGCACCACCGTGACGGTAGCCGGCTCGCCCGTGGGCACTGCGGCGCAGGCGGGCGCCAGCTTCTCGGAGGACGAAGACGATGACATGTGCGGTGCGTAGAGAAAGACAGTAACTTCAGGCTCTTTTGGAGGGGAGCATTAGAGTCAATGCCTCATTGTTTGTGTGAACTGTATATGAAACAACAAAGCTTCGTTGGCTGTAGCGATTCCCGGGACTCGCTTCTGGATTGACAGTTGGCATTTCCCATAGCATGTTCATGGAGTCAAAACAATGTATAAAGAACTGATACCATCGGACACCCATAGGATCCCTATAAACGAATTCCTTTGCTTTTGTGCGCACGCGCAGACCCAGTGGCGAGTGAGGAGATCGCGGCGCCGATCGCCCCGATGACACCCAAGAAGAAGTGCGGCATGGGCCGATCTCCGGGCCTCCCGGATCCCGAGACCGGCGTGCTGCCCGGCGACGGGGAGCAGTTCGAGACGGGCTGCGCCAATGGCGGCTGCGGCAACGAGGAGTACCTGATGCTCGAGACGACGGCCGCGGCTGGCGTGCAGCGGCTCGCGCTGCGCCAGGCTGGCCACAGCCGGTCGCAGGGCACCACCATGTCGCTGCCCGCCGCCGACGCCCTGCCAGGAACCTCCTCGTCCGCCGGCCAAGACGAAGCCACATCGCCGTCCAAGAGGCCACAGGCCGAACTCAGGCCCGAGTCCAGGCCTGGGTGAGCAGAGAGATCGGTCGCTTGAAAAGTCCATGAGGATTTCATAAACAGCGTGGAAGCGACATGAAAAATAAGGGACTTACGATTTCGTCTTGGTCCCTTGATTTTTCGCGTTGTTTCTGCGTTGTGTCCCTTCACTTGCTTTTTGTATCCCTAAACAGCGCACTTGCTTTTGTGCGCTGTTTGTGCAATCAAGTCGTACCATTTAGCCTGGTGCACCCCTCTCGTCAGTGAGGAAGCATTCTCAGGTTTGAAGACCACGTACCTGGTTTTCGGCGTGAAACAGTGCTTGTACGGCGCATACTTCGCTGCCTCAGATTAGATAGATTCTGTTATTATCCGTGCGTCTTCTATATTATGTGCGGTGAAAGGGATCCGTTGTCGTTGAATAAAGCCACGAAAGCTTTATTGAGATGCTTGAAGGAGACCAGAATTTATGAGCGTCTGTGAACAAACTGCTCCAGTTCGTGTTGTGTGCATTGACAGTAACCGTTACCTTACTTTGTTTTTGTTTTTTACTTGCTATTTCTTCTCTACTGTGTCTATTATTCTCCCTTTCCGCCACCCAACATATAAGGTAGCTAACTATGCCAAAACTTGGTTAACCTTTTCGCCCTTCCTCTTTATGTGCATTTTTTCTTTCTTCCCTGTAGCTCTCAATATTGGTCTATTATAGTCGATTTTCTGGGTGTTATAAAGTTGAAATTTCAAAACGTCGTACGAGGCCCAAACGTTTTCCGCGGGTTATGCAATTACGCTGCTTTTTTTCTTAACAGGCTACGGCGTGGTGGCGTGGCGTCGCGCAGCCGGCTGTCCCCCGAGCTGTCCCCGGAAGGCGAAGCGCCCCTGTAGGGGGAGTCGGCCCCCCACAGGTCCGGCGCTGCCCCCGGGACAGCAGGAGGCGTCCGGCACCTGCTGGACCCGGTGCCCCGCTGGGCGGACAAGGCCGCCGAGCTCAAGTACATCGACGACGAGCAGCCCGACGAAGGCGTCGTCGGCGACGTGGCCTCGGTGCTGCTGCTCAGTCACCATCGGAACCGCAGCAGCATCGGGCCGCCCAACGCCGACTTCTTGGTCGGCGACCCGCGAAGCCGCGCTTGCGATGCCCGCCGGCTGACGCTAAGATCGGGCTCGTCCATGCCGCAGCAGCAGACGCAACAGCAGCAGCACAACACGCACGGAGTTCCGCAGGCGTCTTCCTCCTGCGCCACCTCGAGGAGCTGCGATGACGCCGCCGAAGTGGCACGAGCGCTCCTGGCCGAAAAGGTATACAAAACAATCTTGCTCGCTAGGCCTCATTTCTAACTTTGGTTACAGACCTGAAGGTACAAAGCGGTGATGGCTGCCAGAAGAGAACTCCGAATCTCTTTCTATTTTTATTTCTATGTTCGTCTAACCCTTGCGGTAGCGATTATACGGACTTTCTCGGAGAGTTTCGCCGATGGTTCTGTATATATATTCTTTCGATTCCCTCCATCTCTTTCTCCTTCTGGTGTCGAGTACATCAAATCACTTGACCTTCCACGTGCGATGTCCGCGCGCTGACTTGTTGTTCTTACAGCTGCTGTACAGACACACCGAGGAGCCCGCCTGCGTGTGCGAGGCATCGCAGAGCTCCTCGCCGGCGACGGCTCGCAAGCAGCGGTTCGCCGAAGAGAACCCCTTCGTGTGCACCACCGGCTCAGCGGACTGCGGCGGCGCCTCGCTGGCCGTCCACGCGGCGGGCAGCTCGCGCGGCGCCGCGCCGGGCAACTCGCCGTCTCCGCAACCGACGCTGTGCAGCGGTGCCTCCGAGGACGAAGGAAACCGGACGACGAGCCGCGAGAGCACGCCATCGGCAAGCCCGTGCCGGCAACCCCGACGACACCGGGGCTCGCTACCGATACCCTGCGCAGGTATTGAGAAGGCAATTTCTTTCAAAATTTCTGCAAAGTAGAGCAAGCACCGCTTGGCAGACATTGATGAAACGGCGAAGGTGGTAGCATGCAGAGAAATTTCATTCAGGGGAACAACTTGGTTTATTGAAGTGGAATGAAACTGGAATGAAGCAGGAAGAGTGGTGGTTGTGGCAGTGGGCTCAGTGGGGAGTTGCGGAAGTGACGCCACGTTCTGTGACGTCATGATGTAGTAATATGTTGACGTATTCATAATTTTATGCATCCCGTATTGACGCCGGTGTTCACACTACCTACCTACCTACCTACCTACCTACCTACCTACCTACCTACCTACCTACCTACCTACCTACCTACCTACCTCTCTCTCTCTCTCTCTCTCTCTCTCTTGCTAGCCGGGGGTGGTTCGTCAACGCCGGGGCTGGGCGCCCTCGGCGCGGGCGACGAGAGTGGTGGCTCGGCGCCGCCATCGCCGGCGCTCAGCCGCAGTATCCCGTCGTCGCCGGTGTCCGGCCGCAAGAGTAGGCAACAACAGCTTCGCACGCTGCTCTACAGCCCGTTGCTTCTGCGCAAAGTGCGCGGAGGCCGCGGGCAGCGCAGTGGATCCGTTCTCGACAGCTCGGACGAAGAAGGCGGCCAGAGCGGCGAAGAGGTGCTCTCGGACGGCTTCCGCGACCTCGAGAGCATGCAGAAGGCGCACATACGAAAGAAGGTGCGTGGAAAAATATCACGAAAGCCCCCTATTGAGAAACGGTCACAGTTTGCTACAATATTTGGCAGTGAACTGTGCGGCTTTCATCGTTTCTTCACCATGAGAATGAAGGGTAGTACACAGATTGGCCTATTTGAGTTTGCGACTTTCAATTAACTTGGACATGGTTTATTGTTGTGGTTTGCCCTTTGTTCGAATAATATAATGGCGCACTGTGAATTCCGTATGCTGATATGAATAGGTAAGCATAAAAGGGTCAAAACGGCGAAGTGGGACTGTTGAACGTTTGCTGAACTTCGCGAACTTCGCCTTACGACAAAGTGTCTGCACGTCACACGACGCCAAAGAGAGCCGAGAAAGTGAGACTTTGGCTAACTCATATACTACCCGTTGTGGTCATACTGTCTGAAGCATCATGCATTGGTGCTCCCTCAGGTGCGCTAATGCCACATTTTCCATCTAGGGTATTATTAGGAAATTCAAAGCTCTTTTCATGAGACGGTGCCTCCCTCTGGTGTGCAGTTAAAGAAGCGCCACGGCAAGGTGCACCAACAGGAGATGCTGCCGCCCAGCAAGCCACCGCCCATGTACCGCGAGTTTGTGCTGCACAACAAGGCACCCCTGTGGAACGAAGTGAGCCAGGTCTACCAATTAGACTTTGGTGGTCGCGTCACGCAGGAGTCAGCCAAGAACTTCCAGATCGAGTTTAAAGGAAACCAGGTACCTGATTTTGTGATGTGGTGATTCATATTGAAAAGGACGTTGCATGTTATGTCACGTTGTACGTGTTTTGGCCTTTGTTTTTGTTTGCTTTAGTGATGCTTCAGCTTAATTTGGAGGTTGCCTACTGGAAGAAATATAGAAGTGCCGAAGCCTACAATCACTGGTTTACCGTCTTGCTTCGGTAAACCAGTGACGAAACATCTTATACAGCCTAATATAAGCTGTTTTTTCCCACCAGTGGCTTTTATAAAATATCGGTCCAGTGAGGATCGTCATAATGTTGCGTGAACACGCAAATACACGGAGACATGCAACACAGACATGTGTATACATTGCTTTGTATTTGTGTTTTTGCCTTACACTAATGTTTAGCAAACACCAAGTAGCTAAACAAGAAATCCTCGTTCAACGCTGAATTTCTTACTACGTCCTTATTTCTCTAAGCATGCACTTATGTAATATAATGCTCTCCACCCCTCTATTCCTCACCTATTTATTTTTGACACCTGCCTTTGTCTCTGCTCTCCATTTTTAGAGGCGAAGCTCCTTAGGGCGTGGGCTGTGCGTCCCCTGTAGCCTGTATGTAGCCACCTCTAGTTTAGTTCATGCAGTGTTCACTAGATGGCGGTACCGTCCCCTGTATGTAGCCACCTCTAGTTTAGTTCTTGCAGTGTTCACTAGATGGCGGTACCGTCTCCTGTATGTAGCCACCTCTCGTTTAGTTCTTGTAGTGTTTACTAGATGGTGGTACCTGTAGCTGATGATGAAAAGATGCAAGATGTTATAAACTAGAAAGCGGTACTTGTAGTTGATGAAAGACGCGAGATCTTATAAAATAGGAATGATGTCACATATGGCGCGTGTCATTGGTTGAAGGCAATCGTTCAATTTAGCGCGGCGACGTACGCTAGGGGGAGCGATGTAATAAAATCGAGTGAGCAAAATGTACAGAGGATTCATGGTTTACCAGGTTTACCTCCGGAGCTTCGCCCACTCATCATCATTCACTTCGTGGATATGGCGGAATTTTTTTTCTCTCTTTTCTTCTTTCATAGTGCAGATTAACAAATAGAAGAGTAATTTTGGCTAATCTTTCTGTCTTTCCCCCACTTGTACTCGAATCTATCTCTTAGCATGCGACAAATCTTTCCTTTCTCGGTGACGACGTCTTACTTCCTCTTCATCATTATTTTTAAACCCTAAAGGCATTACATAATCGGGTGAGATATAGATTTTATAATAACATGTCCATATACAAATTCGGTGCTTCTAGAATAACACTCAAGGTTACAGCAGACAGTGTTGAACAGAAAAAAAAATAACTATATTGAGAAAGTGTAAGAAATATTCCACGTGGTTAGTTTCAAGACGCAAACATGGGTGTGTTCGAGTATTGATCACTGGAGAGGTTACGCCCCACTTAATTACCTAGTCGCTATTGTTGTGAGTATTTCTCCTACAATTATTGTACATGCAATTAGACCATCACCTGTGATGTAGTATCTGAAACGTGGATCTTGCATCGTCACAGTCCTGTGAAATGCATTTAATTTCTTCTCTCTTTGAGAAGTTTTTGTGTTTCTAACATATACAGTAACAGCTTTTAAGTTGAAAAAAAATATTTTGAGGCTTGGTCGCACAAATGCTCTTGGTGCATCTGCTATTGTAATATGTTCAAATTTGACTGTTCCTTCATGAATACATGACTTTCTTTTTCTTCGCCCACTTTTGAAGGAGGCTTTATTCTAAACCCTAGAAGTGATATTTTATAACTTTTTAACCTCGGTGTTCATGGCATCGTTCGCTAACCAAGACAAGACATTGATATTGATTAGCTTTTCGTGTAAAAGTTTTTTATTTGGTTTGTTTATTTGTTAACATTGAAAGTTTCATTACTTGTTGCTGCGTATCTTAGCATGATCTGTTTTGTCACAAATCAAGACATGATTTCTGTTTGTTGTCCTCTGAAGCTATTTCTTCGCAGCACGGAGACGCCCTGTTTCGATTCTTCCTGCGCAGGTGATGCAGTTCGGCCGCATCGACGGCAACGCCTACACCCTCGATTTCCAGTACCCGTTCAGTGCCCTCCAAGCATTCTCCGTTGCTCTCGCCAACGTAACGCAGCGACTGAAATGACACGCTGCGCTCTTCAAGAGGGACCGTTGAACACTCTCACAGTGCTCTCTCCGCATCTCTTTCTGTCTTTCTCGCTCTCCGCGCGAGTACGATCTGCGCGCTCCTCTCCGCGTCATTTGGAGACTTAAGAAGAGAGAGAGAGAGAGAGAAAAAAATACCGCGCAGAAAGCTCAACTCGGTGCTGGGCGACATGATGGTGGAAGGACAACGAAGAAAAGGCCAGAACAGGAGAGCGGCGGCGGCTTGAAATGGAACCGCTACACTGAAGGTTGAATGCGAGGATCCGAGGCATGGGTTTGCATTGCCGTGTTCCAGTGTGCGAGAGCAATGTCGCCGCTTCTTGGTGTAGTGGATGACCAGGCCGCGCGGAGCAGGTGCGAACGCTAATTTGCGAGAGTAGTGTATCCGGAGCTTCCAGCAGATTGAATGATTCCTTTCTCTCTTTTTTATTTACTCTCTTTCTCTCTCTTTTTCTATGACACGGCCAAACGATGAGCCAATTATTTTTTGTTCCAGTCATTCGTTACCCCATTCTACTGCTGAGTTTTCCGGCAGAAGGAGTCCTTCGCGCATTTTCTTATCTTAGAGGTTTATGTTTCCGCATATACAAGTTCTGTACAAACTACGGGCTGAAGTATATCTTGTAGTCAATGCACACGTGAAAAAAAATACAGCGCATGTTCTGACTTGATCTCAAAAAAAAACAAAGTACGTCGAAATTAACTGAGCATTATGCAGTGGATGTGCTGAACGTCAGCGAAGTTTAACGCGGTTGCTGGGATATGTCCCCAAGCGTGCAGTTGTGGTGCTCAACTATTCTCACAAAAAAAATCTAGTCATTAGCTATGACGCGTGGAAGTTTAGGGGAAAGGGGAGTTGAAGGTATTGACAGGCAACATTTTAGTCGTTATCGTTAGTCGTGAAATGAATAGAAACGCTGTAAAGGACTGTTTTGTTTTACTTAAGTGGCGAGAAATGGGCATTGCACGACAGCCTTATTGAATATTTTTTTTATGCGTCGTGTCGCAGCTAGAATCACTTTTTTACGCTAGTCCCGCCTCTGTAGAAACCTTAAGAACATGGTTATTGTAATTAAAATAAGGTTCAAAATTTTGAGTTACAGAACAACGCTTCGCCGTGTTCGTTATTGGCGTAGTATCCACTTACGTGGTCGTCGCTTTTATAGATCGAAGGGTTGTACAGTTTCTCGATTTGGCTAAATTTTCAAGCCCAGATTAGAGAGTATTTTGAATCACTTGCTTGGAGCAGACACTGCATATTGCAGGAACAACTTTCGGCGCACTACTCGTGCATCAAAAAACGTCTTTAATTGTCTTGCGCATGAGCATTATAATAACAGCTCTCACGTCTATCTTATAGAAAACGAGCAGAAATTTTGCAAGCTGCTGAAATGCAGAAAATGTATTCAGTCTGCCCTAGTTTATGTGAAAGATATATCTACAGACGTAACGCCTACCGCAGGCTGTACAACATGTTGAGTATCGGCATACCTCATGAAACACATAAACATACTCGTGGTTTTTGAGGATCTTTTTGCAATGGCAACATATATTGAATCAATCGGCAGTAGCGTGAGGCCCTACAAAAATACTGTCCAAGCCTTCACTCGCTGTAAAGCTTCAATGATTATGCCATGGTTAAGCGACATCAATATAGATGCGAAGGAAGTCATTAGTGCCGCTGTGAACGTCGTAGCGATTCGCTGTATGTGATTCGTCAGTAAGTTGCATGATCTGTGTTTCAAACTTAAACCTTCGCATCATTATTCATATGCAGTGTAACCACTGGTTAAATCAACTAAGCACCTTGACGCCACGTATGCTTAGGAAATAAACGCTATAACGAGCATATCAGAGCTCTAGTTTACGTTATATTGTTAGTTGTGCTCGCAACCTCAAGCCACAGCTATATGTTGTCGTTGGCGGCCGATAAAAAGTGGAAACTAATAATCACAACCAATAAACAAGACGTCGCGCGTTATTGGCGCACGTGAACGTCTTTGCGGAATGCTTGCACGTTTGGTAGTTCTAATCGTTTTGCTTTTTAGCTACGCTAATACCACGCCCACCAGGGGCATAAGCTAACGAGCCCAATCTAGAGAGCCGGTCTGTTGATTCAGGCAAAAGCTCGTGACGTCATGATAGCTTCTTCTTATAAGCTTAGTCAAAGTGAGCTGCTTTTGAAGCAGCCATGCGCCGATTTCGTTTCCTCCTTCCTGGAATATTCCTTGTTGCTCCATTTCCCACCGATTAAGAACTCCACAGGATGCGTTTATCTCGACTGCTAGCGCTGGCTATAGAAGCAATTTACCGAAAGATGTGTGCTTGCTAACAAGTAAGACGAGTGCAGTCAGTCAGTCAGGTCAGTCAGTCAAGAACTTCAATAAATGGTCCTGAAGAGTTTAAGCCGCCAGGGTGTCCACAAGGGACATTCTAGCAGCCGCTACTGTAGGCGACGCCCGTGGTGGCGTTCCGCCAGTTCTTGGGTCCTCTGGACTGCCTTTTGTTGGTTTCTGAGACTGGGGCTCCGGAGTGCTTCCTCCCAGTCAGACTCATTGGTGCAGGTAAAATTCACTTTTCCAGCCGTTTCGTGTATCAGCTCGCTAATTGACAATAATTAAATGTTGCCTATCTAGGAGGAGGAGGACGATAGAAGATATGGAAGGACTAGGTGGTAATCCAGTTCACAGACCGATTGGGGGCCCAGTATTTAGAAGACGGGACAGGAGAAGTAAGAGAATAGAAAAGAAACGCTACGCGAAAAGGAAAGTGAAAAAAAGGAAAACAAAGACACTGCTTAGAGTCTGTCTAGTCCGTCTGTAACACCAGTTTTCTACAAAAAGCTTAATGATTCCTCAAACGCAAGACGTCCCAGTAAACACCTCCTTAAAAAGGGCTAATGCAGGAAACAGTAACATCCTTTGATTCGTAATTTCAGTGGAATGCATGCACGCTGTGTTCAATGAAAGAATGATGATGGGCATATACTTTTTTTAAGCATGCACAACTTTGTGAGCGACGGCTGTACAGGGCCTTATGCGTTACAGTGGGCGTCGTCATAGTTATTGACTATGTAGACCATATTTTCATTGAAAGTTTTTCATGTTGTAGACCTACCCAGTACAGCTTCGCAGAAAGATGTAAGCAACGTAGGAGCAGACGTTGCAGCTGGTCAAGTGAGTGTCCAATGGTCGTCAAGTTTAGCCGTTTACCTTTTGCGGCAAAGCCTGGGCACGAACGTGTCAGATAACGGTGTCAACAAGAACGGGTTCCAGCTTCTAGCGTGCGTACTCATACTCATACTCTATACATAATAATAAGCCTGCGTGCGTGCATATGTGAGCGAAGAGGCATTCTAATGTGTTTGTAAAGGCAACCCCGCCCTCGCTTTTCACTCGACAGAGATGAATGAAAAAGTGTAAAGCAAGAATCTTTTTTTTTTGCTATGTTTTTAACAGCTTGTTGCTATTGCGAAGTTAAGAAGACGATGAAGGAAGCTCGCAGCTTTTTTGAGCTTCGAAGCTTTCCGTGCTTTAACGTAGTGTTGGTGTTTCACTCGATGGGCACGTTGTGCTTGTCGCCCTGTTTCTTTACCGCGGGAATCGTGCAATGATCAGTGTACATATACCTGTGCGCGCTCATTGGAGCGTGAGGAACGTTCGCATATTTTCTCTTCCGTCATCTTCAAAATGGTGCAATCACCTCACCCGGCCGTTGCCACTGTCTTCACGCCACATTGTTGGTTTGTTCCATTGTTTGTGTGGCTGCTGCCGCTGCTCGCTTGTTTTGTTTGTGCACAATTTTTTGCCAGAAACATCTACATATATGCGCGATTGAATGTGTGTTTGTGTGTATGGGACAGTTTTGTGCGTGAATCTCCATGGGATTGACGCGGTCTTCGATTGCCACATCCGTTTGCACACATGTATGACGTGTAAAACTACGAAAAGCAGCTGTATCTACTTTCTCAGATGTTTACCCGGCCCCCGTTCCTATCCAAAGCAAGCAACACTTCACTATTCACTTTTCAAAGCCTATAAGAGCATTTTAACAAAGCCGTAAGCTAGCGCACGCCATATTGTATCTGCGCATAACTTTACTCCCACCACTCTGCTTTTTCATTACACTACATTACCTATTTAAGACGTATGTCCGCGTTCAACTTACGCATGCTTCGTGTTTTCATTTGATCGCTTTCGCGAACCGTTCCCTCCTCTATGCGTGACGTCACACCACCATGGTGAACGTCTCGTTACAACGACGGGCATGCTGCGTATATGTTTTGTAACAAAGAGACGTGAAAATAGCGCCGACGTGTTGTATTTGTGCCCACACGTCCTCATCCGGCTGACCTGACCGCTTATATGGAAAGTTGATCATTGAAGAATGTGGTGCAACGTGTTGCGAATGAGCAAAACTTCCGTACGACTATTTCTAGGCGAGATCACAAACAATGGCGTGATCACAAAAAGGATATTCTAGACAGCCTGTTCTGTCGCAGCACACGTAATCCTACGCGAACACTCTGCAAAAGAAAAGAAAAAAAACTCGGAGCTGTGAGAAACGATTGGCGAAGCTATTGTTGCACTTGAGGTGAACGGGGCATTAGGTCAACACCCCCAGTATTACTACTTGCGATGAATTTTTAGCGCATTTTCATACCGCGGGGAACAGTTCAATCAAAACTTCATAAAAGCTGGTGCATATAACGGTTCATGTAAATGCTTACAATATATATAAAATGTTTGCATGTACCGAATGTTTAAAGTACTCCTCTAACTGTTATAAGTTCTTACGGTTGAAAACGGCATGTCATGCATACAAATTTGGGCTGTTACAAGAGTAACTAAGAAACTAAGAATTCATTCTGAACATAGGATCACAGCCTGCTTTTAAGCTGAATTTAATAATGCTGGCCTGAACACAAACAATGTTTCGTAATATTTGATACAAAAAGGACACAGAATAAAAGGGTAAAAACCAATTGGCTGGTGCGTATCATTAACATCTGTTCTGCAAGCACTAATAAGCCACGACTCTTTTTCTTTCCTCGCTTCACAGCGCAAAGAGGTTAACGTTAGCGTTTAACACGAAGCTCACATTTATTCACCAACGGAACATAGATACTTCTAAAATGCCACCAAAAATATTTTTTCTGGTGCCCTCTAAAACACAAAAACGCAGCTCGAATCGTATTACCAATAAAGCCCGAATTTTGAAGCCTGTAGTAGCTGTATGACGCTTGTCGCACACTGTAATAATTAAAAGGCAGTAGTACGAGTATACGTGTCAC